TACCAATTTTTCAAGCCGTGGTCTTCTCCGTGATGTTATCAAATCTGCGGTCCATAGTCACGGTGATGTTATCAAATCTTCGGTCAGTTGACACAGTGATGTTATCCAGTTTGCGATCTGTAGTCATAGTCTGAGTGCCAACAGCTCTGCCAAGTCCATCAATCATCCCGGCCAGCCTAGTGGGGCTTTGAGCGGCTGTCACGATTTTCTTCAATTTCCGATAAACCAGGGCAATGCCTAATCCAATCAGCATCAGACCTGTAATCATGGTTCCGAATAGGTAAATGTCTTCGATGTCCTCCTATTCGGAACCATGATTACAAGTTTGATGCTGATTGGATTAGGCATGTAATCATGTAGTGTTTATTAATTTATATTAAAGCTGTTAAGGGATGTTAGAATGTTAAGGTATACTTGCATGCTGCTTATGAATGTTCTATGAAAGCATTATGAATGCATTATGAAGTTGCACTGAATGATCTATGAATGCATAATGAATGCATTATGAAGGTGCACTTAATGTAAAGCATTACCTTATTTTCTTTAGACTGCAGTATTTTCGTTTGGTGAAATTTATAGTTAGCAGGCCCAAGGTGACATTTTGTTCGGGGTTGCAGAATTTCTACCTGCACTCCTGTGTGTACTCATAAGTAAACATGTTGCAGTGGCACTCTGGAGGCAGGCCTGCCAGACGAAGGAGGGCACTCGTTTTCTTTTTTTTTTTTTATAATAATTGATACTTTATTGATCCCCGTGGGGAAATTGTTTTTACGCCTCCCTGAACTTGCTCTTTGTAGAGTAAGTTGTCCGCGAAGGGCAGCCACCCATAGCAGCGCCCAGGGAGTTGGGGGTTAAGGGTCTTGCTCAAGGACCCACAGATGTGCTGAGGCTGGGTTTGAACCTGCGACCTTGTGATTACAGGCACACAGGCTTAGCCCACTGAGCCACACGCTGCCCCCGTGTAACCTAAAGAAACAAAAAAAGATTTAGGAATAAAGGTAGGTATTGACTGGAACAGATACAAAAATTTAGGTAGTAC